GGGAAGGCTTGAAAGGTAAAGCGGAAAGGAAAAATCACGCCCATAAAATGCTCACAGAGGGAGCACTGTCCCTGGAAAGGAGTGGCTACTGGGGGTGGGCGGCCCTGGCCGATGCCGCTTGAGGCTGAGCAGAGCAGAGGTCCCCTGGGAGGAAGCCCCCCGAGGCTCGTCTTCCTTGTACCTCCTTCCACCCTGGGCACACCTCTGGGTCCCTTCCCTCCTGCCAAACTGGCTCCCTGGCTGGTTTTACACAGTCCGATAAGAACTGGCCAGGTCGGCCAGCAAGGACTGCCAGCCTGGTCGGGGGGGCCTCCGGGCTCCCCAGAGCCAGCCCCCTTCTGGGGGAGGGCACAGCTTTGGAGGGTGGTAGTCTCTCTCAGACCTTTCGGCTCGATCGTGGACTGTCCCTGCGCTGGACACACATGGCGTCCAAACTCTGCTGAAAGGTCGCGCTCCCTCCAGGGCCAGCTCCCCTGCACTTTCCCCAACAGGACGCTGGGGACACAGCCAGCACAGGGCAGCCTCGCGGGCTGGGGAGGAGGCCCTCCTTCATGGATGTGCAGTCCTCCCTGTGTGCATAGACAGACCTATGTGAGTGCCTAGCACGTATCTATGCCTTCCAGAGGGTTCCCACCACCAACGTGAGGGCAGGAAAGCCACAGTCACTGTGGAGGCCCCGCAGCCCTTGGAGCAGCAGGTGACTCGGGTCCCCAGCTCGAAGTTCAGCCCAGGTGCACCCCAGAGCCTGGCCGTGGCCGTTGGGAGGGAGGGCTGGGTCCGGCAGCTGGTCTCCCACTTGCCACAGTGCTAACCCACGGCCCACGTGTGTCCAGCAAGGACCGGCCCACACAGCACACCTGACCACCTCCCCCTTCCTTCCGGATACGCCAGAACGTAGCACCAGGTGCGTGAGCATCATCAGTTCTTACAAAAAGGCCCCACACAAATTCAGGGTATTTTTATCATCGCAGATCTTCCGGTTTTGTTACAATAACAAGACCACAAACAGCCCGGGTCCCTCCACCACGGGAGGGGCGGACTTGGAGCTCCCAGACGCAGAAGAAAGTTGTGAAGGAAACACAATGGGGGGCGGGGGGGG